GTGAGTCGGTGTCGTGTGTGCCATGTCTCGAAGGGGAGTGCCTCTAATGCGGGCCTATACCGGCCACTACCCATTCCTTCTCAGCCTTGGTGTGCGGTGAGTATGGATTTCGTTTTGGGTTTACCTCGTACTCAGCGTGGGTTCGACTCTATTTTTGTTGTTGTGGATCGGTTTTCCAAGATGGTGCATTTCATACCTTGTAAACGCACCACTGATGCTCTTCATGTTGCCCAACTGTTTTTTCGGGAGGTTTACCGTTTGCATGGTTTGCCGTCTTCGATTGTTTCTGACCGTGATACTCGTTTCTTGAGCCACTTCTGGCGGAGCTTATGGCGCATGGCCAATACACGGCTAGATTTTAGTAGTGCTTATCATCCCCAAACGGATGGCCAGACGGAGGTCGTGAATAGATCGTTGGGCAACTTGCTTCGATGCTTGGTTGGTGATAATCTACATTCTTGGGATCAGCGATTGAGTCAGGCTGAGTTTGCACACAACTCTGCCATCAGTCGTGCCACCGGGTTCTCTCCGTTTCAGACGGTGTATGCCGTCCAGCCACGTGGACCGCCGGACCTGCTGGCCTTACCATCCGCGGCACGAGTTGATCCCACCACCGCGGTTTACAAGAGGCAGGCGGACGCTCGGCGTCGACACGTTGAGTTTGAGGTAGGTGATTTTGTTTGGGCGGTGTTGACAAAGGACAGGTTCTCGGCCCATGAGTATAATAAATTGTCTGCTCGTAAGATTGGTCCGGTTGAGGTGCTGGAAAAGATCAACCCTAATGCCTATCGTCTTCGCCTGCCGTCGCATCTTCGCACTTCTGACGTTTTTAACGTCAAGCACTTGGTTCCGTTCACAGGCGATAACTCGGACGGAGACGAGACCGGTCCGGATTCACGGCCGAATCCTTCCCAACTGGGGGAGGATGATGGAGACGAGACCGCGATAGCATATTTGAATAAATACGATCGGCTCCGAATTTAGCTTATTATTATTTTTCCTTTTAGTATTTTATTTATTGCTTTATTTAGGTGCTTTTAATTAGTAGGAAATAATTATCTTGCACTTGTTAGCAAGATGAGGACTCTTTGTTCTTTTTATTTCGCGTGTGACGCAAAGCAGAACATTCATTGTTGAGTTTTATCTGATTTTGAGTGAATTCTTTTGAGAGAGTATCTCGTGTTCTTCCCTACGTATCACGTTCTACATCACATAGTTTTTAAAAAATGATCAAAAGTAGGACTTTTTCGCCGGATTTACTATTTCCGACCCGGAGCACCACGTGACGTACACGTGGCGCACACGTGGCTTATTTTTTACACGCTGGCATCCGACGTAGATAGGAAAAAATTCAAAACTAGTCCCACAAGTATAGAGGGTGACATTTTTGGTCCCGATGGAATGCAGAAAATTCAAAACTAGTCCCACAACTTGTAAAAAAATATGAACACGTCAGATGCCACGTGGCGTTCCGGGCCGGAAATAGTAAATCCGGCGAAAAAGTCCTACTTTTGATCATTTTTTAAAAGCTGTGGGACTATTCATATTTTCTGCATTCTGTCGGGACCAAAATTGTCACCCCCTATACCTGTGGAACTAATTTTGAAATTTTCCCTGCATCAATCACACGTTTTTCTACCTTTTTTTTTTTTTCTCTTTATTCTATTTTAATTTGACTACTGTGACATTTCATTTTGTAGTAAAGATTATACTACTAATTACAGGGAATTCCTTTTGAGACTTTTGATGAATTTATATAATAAGGAATTTCTAAGTAGCTTTTGTAATGCTTGACATTTTGCATTTTATGTTTTTTTATTTATAATTTTAAATTGCACGAGTAATTATTCAAAAGTAATATAATTAATTAATAAATTTTTTTGGTATCAAATATGGAATCACAAAATTTTTCGATTGCCTGATTTGCTTGAGAAATTGTCCATGCAATTGAATTAGGATCACCAATTAACCATATTTTGATGATGACATATTTGAAAAAATGTATTTAATAAGGTCAAGTATAATATAATTATAAAATACTTTTAAAATATAAAAATTACGATTACTTGCATACGAATTTAAACAAGCTTCAAGATAATTGTTTCATAAACTGATTACTTGTTTATTTGCATATGGATTTAAAGTTTAAACAATAGCAGTTAGACTGATGTTTCACTATTAAAGATTTAGCCACACTTAACTACATATTTGGTTTAGTGTTCACTATGATAAAGGAATTAATATGTACAAAGAAAATATGCTTTAGATATTGACATGATGCTGGATTTATATGTTGCAGACCTTCTAATACTCTTATGGATCCTACTCAAATATTCACAAATGTTGTTCAAACTAATACTTTAGCCGATGCCTCGGAATTTTGAAGATTAATAGGAAGACTTTTTATACTTAACCATCTCTAGAACAAACATAGCATATAGTGTACAAACACTAAGTCAATTTGTTTTAAAATCATTCACTCATCTTCTTTCAGTTGCACACAAGATCATAAGGTATATAAAATATTTAGTTGGGCAGGGCATTTTATTTTCCAAACACTCTTCCATTTCTCTTACTTTTTATTGTGATGGTGGTTGGGTTGGCTGTTTAGATAACAGAAAAAGTATCACAAGGTATGCAATTTTTCTTGGTGAATCCCTGATTTCTTGAAAGTCTAAAAAGTAGTTCACAATAAGCAGATCCTCAGCTGCGGCAGAGTACACGACCTTGGCATCTACGTCTTGTGAAGTTCATGTTCGTGTGTATACTGAAAGTTTGACTTTATTCTCACTATTTATGTTGAATGAGATTTCATGTTTGATGAAATAAAGTTCTATTTTTTATTGCTTTGCATTTAGATAAATGGTTCGTCATGAATGGACAAAAGATCATTTATCGATTGCTTGCGAAACATAAACAATTGGTTCACAACCTAGATGGAAATTGAACAAGCCATCAGAACGATTCTAGTGTAGACGTACAGTCGGTCTTGACTGATTAGTCACACTAGTACACATTGGTGTATTGACTGGATTCCGGAGAGGAGCAACTCGTTTTATACTAATCGACGTAAATGAACTAGGTCTCTGCTAATTACTGCGTTCTCTTAACTCGTAAGATATAAACAGACACATATATGTAGTAGTTACTGCTTTTGATTCAACAAAGTGAGGTTTATTAATATGGACCAATAACTGTTTGTTTTGGACAGTGGTTCCTACATGACATGGTATTCTGTTATAATATTTACGCTCACCGTGTACTTCACATAGTTGAGGTTTTATGATGTCCCCAAAGTGAGTTTCGATTGATTATTATGTTAAACCCGATAAGTGGATTAAATTATGACATAATAATAGTGCATTGAAAGGTGCTAGCTTCGGTTCAAGAAGTTGATTAATTTAATTGTCAGTAATTAAATAATTTGACGGGCATTATTTCTTAAACATTGGGAGATAATTCGAGTAATTTAGAAGTGGATCGCAAATCGTAATTTGGGAATTACATTGGGAGAATTCAATAATATTACTATAGTTGAATGACTGTGTTATTCATATTTGGGCTAAGTAGACTTGGCGCACAGTCCAAATATGGCGAGCCGAATTCAATGTCTCCTTAGGGTCTCTATTGAAGCCTATAAATACACATCTTCTCTAGTTTTCCAAAACATAAGAAACATATAGATATCTAGAGTCTCCTTCCCAGGTGTTAAGTCATTCAATTTACATAGACACAATATTTTAATCTTATTAATTTCGTCATTAAATTTACAGATTTCTCTTTGCTCTCTCTTGTTCATGTCTTCTTCCTTCTCAGCAATTCCAAAATATCTCTGATTTCACGTTCTTATAGTTTATTTGCCAAGAATCTCTTTTCTTTTTATATTTTTCACCGAATAAATAAATATATTTGTTACTGATCTGCAACACAGCAAATGGTTTAGAACAATATCACCTCACGGTGGACTTTGGGAATTAATCCAAGCTATTTGTTTATTAAAAAGCAGAAAACCCGTGGTTGACATTCATGAACTCCATGAGGACGTATAAAGTCATTATAATGTCATAATATTACTCGTGACTTCTAAATATTCAAGTTAACTATGCGACGTCAAAAGCCAAGTTTTGTGCCGAACATGTATATATATATACAGATAAATTGATTTTACTTATCAATTTAAACTAAAAGCTAATTAGCCAAATTCGTCTCTTCTTCCTCCATTTGTCAAACAGCCCAATTATTAAATAAGAGATTTTATTTTTTATTTTATTTTGTTTGAGCTTCAAATATTTATTAAGAATACGCATTATTATTTATATTTGAAATGACGATAATTACTTGTACGATTTACTCATCCTATTTTGTGATAATTGTTTTTATCCATATTATATGATAGGTTAACAAAAACTTTAATTAATTTATAAAATATTATTTTTCAATTAATATCATTAGGTAATTTAGTTTTAGTAATTAATTTATTTGTTTATTTATGCATTATGAATGTCAAATTAAAATTTGACAGTATGTGATCAATTATATGAAAAAATGATAATAAATGCTAAAGTTATTAATTTTTCAAATATATTAGTCAATTAAGTGTTTTATAATCCTAAAAGTTCTAATAAGCATAGATACATGTTTATAATTTTATATGGACTACTATGATGTATCATAAATTAACACGGTATGATGAATCACATAAAATTGACATATATGTAATTACAAAATGAACCCTCAACAAAATTGACATATATGTAATTAACACGGTACGATGAATCTCTTATATCTTATCATAAATTCAGATCACACTTTGACAAATTCAAACGAATTTATTATTTTTTTTTTATTTCATGCTCCTCATTTTCTTATTACACTGCCGGGTTCCCACTAGCCATAATTTAATTTTCAATATGATTATAAGAAGCTCCCAGCTTATACCCTTTTCTCCTACAACCTTTGTACCAAAAACAGTTGTTCCCCTTTTTGTTCCTCAAAACACAATGACTGACTATCAAAACAAAGTACTTAATGTGATCACTGAAGCAATAATTCTCCTCCTCACTTTCATCAACATCGTAAATTCCTCACCAACACCCGACGACCCGGCCCGAATCCTTCTCCACGTCATGCAAAACCAAATCCATGACCCGCTCGGCCAGCTCGCCGACTGGCGAAACTCGACTCGCCCATGCAACTGGACCGGCATCTCATGCGGTCGCAGGGGCAAAAACGTCATTTCCATAAACCTTTCCGGTTTCAACTTATCCGGCCCCTTCCCGGCCGACTTCTGCCGGATTCCCACCCTTAAAGTGCTCGACTTGTCCAACAACTACTTAACCGGCCGAGTCGACCTTTCCAACTGCTGGACTCTCGTCTCTCTCAATCTCTCCCTCAATGTCTTTGTCGAGTCCCTCCCTAATTTCTCCCCACATTTTACTAACCTCACGACTTTAGACCTCGCGATGAACAACTTTTCCGGCGAAATACCCGTGAGCTTCGCCACCTTGACGCGGCTCCAACATCTAAACCTCGGTGGCAATTTTCTCAACGGCACACTCCCCGATTTCTCCCCACATTTTACGGACCTCACGACTTTAGACCTCGCGAGCAACAACTTCTTGGGGGAGATACCCGTAAGCTTCGCCACCTTGACGCGGCTCCAATTTCTAAACCTCGGTGGCAATTTTCTCAATGGGCCGGTCCCGGAGTTCCTTTTCAATATGACCGAGTTGACTCACCTCTACATCTCGTATAACCCTTTCCACCCGAGCCCTCTGCCTAGGAACATCGGTCGCCTCACGAAGCTCGTGGAATTTGAGGCTATGAACTCCAACCTCGTCGGGGAAATCCCGGACTCGATCGGGAACCTCAAATACATCTCAAACTTCGACGTGTCAACTAACAAGTTGCACGGCCCCATACCCGCCAGTATTGGCGGCATGACCCGAGTTGAGCAGATAGAGTTGTATGATAACTGGCTCTCGGGAGAAATTCCCGACGCTTTCTCCAACTTGACGTCACTCAGACGCGTCGACTTCTCGCAGAACAGGCTGACTGGAAAAATTCCAGTCAGCCTGGCTGCCCTGCCCCTAGGGTCTCTGCAGTTGCGCGACAATTTGTTAGAAGGAGAGATTCCGAAGGTCCTTGCCCGGAATCCGGAGCTCTACGAACTGAAACTGTACAACAACAGCCTCTCGGGAGAGGTTCCCGCCGAAATGGGCATGCATTCCGACTTGGAGGAGTTCGATGTCTCGACTAACAAGCTGACGGGCCCACTGCCTCCCAACTTGTGCAGCAGGAAGAGACTCGCGCGTCTCATCCTGTTCACAAATATGTTTTCGGGAAAAATACCTGATTCGTACGGTGAATGCGGAAGCTTAATCCGCGTGCGTATGCAGGACAATGAGTTGTCAGGAGTTGTGCCTAATGGGTTGTGGAGTTTGGGAAATCTCAATCACCTTGAGCTGACTAACAACAAACTCGAAGGGCCCATTCCGCAGTCGGTGTCTGCAATGAAATCCCTGCAACAATTATCAATAGCCGAAAATAGATTCTCCGGCCAGTTGCCTCAAGGGATTTGCGGTTTGCGGGGCCTAATGAGGTTTTATTCTGGCGGGAACAAGTTTTCAGGGGAGTTGCCTCGTTGCATTAACCGATTAGCGAATCTAACCGATCTTCACATGGAGGGCAATAATCTTAGCGGTGAAATCCCGAGAAATATGGACGTTATGGCGGAACTGACGCAGCTGGATTTGTCGCGAAATCGACTTTCCGGCCCTGTCCCGTCCGATCTCGGGAATTTGCCTCAGTTGACGTACTTGAACCTTTCGAACAATATGCTCTCCGGTGAAATCCCGGAAGATCTCGCTAAACTCAAGCTTAGCGTGTTTGATCTCTCAAACAATCGGCTTCAAGGGAGTATCCCGACTCTTTTGGATACCAACACTTTCTTGTCGGGCCTAATTGGAAACCCCGGTTTGTGCAGCTACTATAATACACTCAATAAAGATTTCAATCCATGCACAAGACCGAAAAAACGAGCTCACAAAAGCTTCTTGCTAACCGGACTTCTCTCGGCAGCCTCATTGATACCCGTCGCTTTAGTAGTCTGGCTCGTGATGAGAACAAAGAATTGTTTCAAATTCGACCGAAAGGGTAACCAGACTTGGAAAATAACCGCTTTTCAGAAGGTCGATTTGGATGAAGAGGACGTGTTGGCTTCACTCACAGCCGAGAATGTAATCGGGTCCGGAGGCTCCGGCTGTGTTTATCGAGTCGTGCTCAAGAGCGGCCAAACGGTAGCTGCAAAAAAGCTTTGGGAAGGAAACTTGGAAGAACCGGAACAGGCATTTCGGGCAGAGATGGAAACTATGGGAAATATCAGGCATTTAAACATAGTGAAGCTGTTGTTTAGCTGCATTAGCGAAGATTATAGGATATTGGTGTACGAGTACATGGAGAACGGGAGTTTGGCCGATGTTCTTTATGGTGAGGGCCGTGGGGCTCTGATCGATTGGCCAAAGCGGTTTTCCATTGCGCTCGGGACTGCACAAGGGCTCGCGTATTTGCACCACGACTGTGTGCCCGCGATTCTTCATAGGGATTTGAAATCCAATAACATATTGTTGGACGAGGAGTTTAGGCCGAAAGTGGCCGATTTTGGCTTGGCTAAAGTATTGAAGCGCGAAGTGAATGAGAGCGGTCAGACCATGTCTCATGTTGCTGGTTCTTATGGATATATTGCACCAGGTTTGACAAATTGATCCTACCTTTATAGATAAAATAACTTTGAACTTCTTTTTGGCAAAATTATATTTTTGATCCTATTGGTTTAACGTCCTAACAATTTAGTCACACATTTTTAACTTTTTGCCTTTGGTCCTGTGATTTAATATTTTGCTGCAATATCAGTCGTTTGAGGACTGAAATTGCAGCAAAATTTTAAATTACAAAACTTAAATGGCTAATCAAAAATCCAACCAAAAGGTATAAATTGAAAATTTGTTGTGATTTCAGTCCTCAAATGATTGAAATTGTAGTAAAATATTAAATTACAGGACCAAAAAGAGAAATGTTAGGATCTTGGGACTAAAATTATTATGGCGTTAAACCAGCACGATTAAATATACAATTTAGCCTTAAAAAAAAAAAAAACGACAGCCTATATATCAAGCTTATGTTACTATATTCCATTTAATAAATTGCAGAGTATGCCTACACATTGAAAGTGACGGAGAAGAGCGATGTGTACAGCTTCGGAATAGTATTGCTCGAGTTGCTTACAGGGAAGAGGCCGAACGATGACTGTTTTGGTGAAAATATGAGTATTGTTAAGTGGGTAAAAGACATTGCATTACCATGTTTAAAACGTGTTCCTACACGAGACCCAAGTGGAAACAGATCAAACATTGTGAGTTTGAACAGGATATTAGATTCCCGGATTCATCCGGACACGATTGAGTATGAAGAAGTGAAGAAAGTTTTGAATGTGGCTTTCTTATGCACAACCCAGTTGCCCGATAGAAGGCCGTCGATGAGAAGAGTTGTAGAGCTGCTTAAGAAACGTTAGTTAGCTCAGTTGTGCCAGAGTTTGGATTGGTGACTTTAACTCTTGTATTCCAAATCATGCAGTTGTTCAAGTATTA